AACTAAGGGATCATAGGAGGTGGTTGAATTTGTTGTGGACGAAGACCCGGTGGATGATTTCAACGATTCACAACCGGTTGCCCTACTTTTCTCCTCGCCTTGGCTTCGGCTAGTACCTGAACTTTCATACGTGTCATTGCAATACCTAAACTAAAAAGTGTCAAGTTGATCCCCGTCATTAACCGACCATCAGTTATTTTTTGAAAATGTCAAAACTACCCTTCAAAAGAAGACTATTCATTGTCTTCTACCTTGAGACTGAATCAGTTATCTTCAAAGAAAAAGAGAGAAAAACATGAAATATGATAGCGAGAAACAATAATTAAAAGCAAAGAAATAACTAGACAATAATGTGTTTTAGATCTAAAGATAAAAGACAATGACTTCATTAGTCTAGAATCTCAAGCACCTCAATCAGTTCAGTCTCAAGGTAGAAGACAATGAACAGTGTCTTCTTTTAAAGGATAGTTTTAACATTTTCAATTGATAGCTAACGATCGATTAACGGAAATGACCAACTTAACACTTTTTAAAAGTTTAGATACTACAGTGATACGTTTGAAAGTTCGGGTACTAACTTCACACTACCCCCAAAGTTCAGGATATTAAAGTAGAATTTTCTCCAAAAAGAAAAAAACATGAAAGCAATGGCTGTCGTGTTTTGCCTTACTCATTTTTTATCAAGGGGGCTCTTGCTACAAGTATCCAGTTCATCTAGATTCACATGGCCAATTGTGGGTTTAAACTTTCTTCTCTCAGAATCTTTTTCTTTTTTTATTGAAAGGGAACTCTTGCTACGTTCATTGTGGGTCACTCTAGCCAGCAGACTTATTTGATCCTGCAAACACTTTAGCTCTGGTTTATTAATTAGGGTAAATCTGTGATGCCCAAAAGACATTATATCTGAAAAACTTGTAACCAATAAACCGGTAGCATAGAAGTGGTAACCAATTACCAATTAACAGGTATTCACCAACATTTCAGGAGGGGGTTGATTGGACAAAGTTCTTCTGGTATCATACCCTTCTGGCAGGTTCGCATCTGCCCCCAAAGACTTGCCCCCTAAAAACGTCCCACGAAACCTAGGCGCGACGCGTGTCGTGATACACGTGCACTAAGATGACTCGTGTAGTCTATATTTCACGCCGTTTGTATCACGTTCGTTAATTCCTTCTCGCCCAAAAGGGTTTCTTCTCCCCTTCTGGGTATTCTTTCTCCTATTCTACTGTGAACTGAAACCTTGGCGCCCCCTTTCGTAACCTACCCATCGGAGATAAACTCTTTCGAGTTTCGTCAGCCGACGCCGACGGCCATACAAACGGCGAGAAGGTAAGTATTCTGTAATGGAGGGAAGTAAGTGTCGCTGGTTTTCTCGGCGCCCCCTAACTACTACGCTTACTTCCCTTCCAGCGGTAGCGTTGCTGGTTTTCTCGGCAAAATGCTTAGCACCGGATTTAATGTCGTTGGGTTCAACTGGATGTCATCGCCGGCGGCCACAAAGCTGGAGAGCATGGTCATGGATTGGCTTGGCAAGATGCTTAAGCTCCCCAAGTCTTTCCTCGTCTCTGGAAACAGTGATGGTGTGCTACAAGGGAGTACCTACGAAGCCATCTTGTGCACGCTCACGACAGCCTGAGATCGGATGTTGAACAGAATTGGTAGGGAGAACATAGGGAAGTTGGTGGTTTATGAATCAGATCAGAGCCACTGTGCACTCCAGAAAGCTGCCCAGATTGCAGGGATCTTTCTAAACAACTTCGTGTCGTTGCGACGAGTAAGGCCACCTCATTCGGGCTGGTCCCCGAGTCTCTTCGGTCTGCGATCCAAGCAGATATACGAGCTAGGCTCATCCCATTATTCCTCTGTGCTACTGTCGGTACTATATCGTCGACAACCGTCGACCCAATTGCTCCTCTATGCACAGTGGCCAAAGAGTATGGTGTTCGGGTTCACGTCGATGCAGCATACGTCGGAAGTGCATGCATATGTCCTGAGTTCAGACACTTCATCGATTGGGTAGAGGATGCAGATTCGTTCAGTTTCATTGCACACAAGTGGTTCTTCACCACCCTCGATTGCTGCTGCCTTTGGGTCAAGGACCCTAGCACCTTTGTTAAGGCCCTGTCAACTAGTCCGAACAAAGCTACTGAATCAAAGCAAGTGATAGACTACAAAGACTGGCAAATAGCCCTCAGTTGTCGATTCCGAGCCATGAAGCTCTGGATGGTGCTTTGGAGCTATGGTGTGGCTAACCTAAGAAATTTCCTTCGGACCCACGTGAAAATGGCTAAGCACTTTGAAGAGAAGGTAACCACGGACAAGAGGTTTGAGATTGTGGTGCCTAGGAATTTCGTGATGGCATGCTTCCGGTTGCTACCGCCGCCGGTGAAGGATCATGAGGATGAGACACTTAGGCAACCGTCGGAGTTGGAACGTGCAAACGAGATCAATTGTAAGTTACTGGAGTCGATCAACTCGGCTGGGTGCATATACATGACGCATGCGGTGTTTGGGGGTGTTTACATGATCAGGTTCGCTGTTGGTGCAAGCCCTACGGAGGACCGCCATTTGAACTTGGCATGGAAGGTAGTGCAGGAAAATGCAGAGGCCATTATCAAAGCGTGTTGATTAAGGTAGCGACCTGCGACCACCACTCCGTATTCGTGGAGTTGAGGGTTTAATTCAAACTTACGAAAATAAAGAGTAAGACCCAAGAAAAAAAAATAAAAGAAATTAATTACTTAGGTTCATTAATTTTGTACGTATTCATCATCTGTAATTTTTTTTTCTTAAATTTTTTTTGTATCTATTAAATCATCTACATTGAATTGTTTCTATTTTGAAATTATCAAATTATTATTGATTTTACAACAACGATTCTTAATACTCTCTCTCTCCGTTTGTATGGCCGTCGGCGTCGGCCTGCGAAACTCAAAAGAGTTTATCTCCGGTGGGTGGGTTACGAAAGGGGGCGCCAAGGGTTTTAGTTCACAGTAGAATAGAAAAATACCCAGAATGGGAGAAGAAACCCTTTTGGGCGAGAAGGAATTAATGGACGTGATACAAACGACATGAAATAGATACTGCACGAGTCATCCTAGTGCACTTGTGTTATGAAACGTGTCGCGCATAGGTTTCGTGGGACGTTTTTGGGGGGCAGATGCGAACCCCCTTCTGGCATAGATATTGCCCTCCTATGCATATAGATAAGAAAGTCTGACGAAAAAAAATTCAGATAATATAGCTTTCTTAGAAACTCACTTCTGCAGGGAATATGACACTTGAGAAATTCGATAGTACTACGCAAACCGTAAGGTTTCCTTTTATTGTTACACTCAATAGGCTTTCTGAACTCTTCCATCTACAAAATAAGTCCAAATTTTCAGATAAAGGTGATACATTTCGTGCTCTAGAAAGCCAACCAAATAATACCACACAAGAATGAACACAAACAACATATTACAAACTTACAACCAAACTTCTGCCATCATCTTAGAGATAATATAATATACAACATACCCTGATACCCTGTTATCTCCCTCTCTCGGTACCCACTCAAACACCACAAATAGATTAATCTAATAAGAAAACCAGAGGAATCGCAAGACCCTGAAATAAGAATCTTTCACAAAACTGAACATCCTTTGAATCAAGAAGCTAGTGATAATACCTGGTTAAGTATCTTCACACCATTAAGCCCAGGACCCTTCCGATATGTCATCTTTGCCATCTTCTCTCTGAAACAACCAGGATTTATTCTGTGAGAAATTGATATGAACATGTTCTACCATGTCTCTGATGAATAACACAGGGAACAGGAATCTAGTATGTTTATAATTTCTTTGTATCCACTAGCTTAATACATATTTACAAACAAATATGAGCATGCATGCTTGGACCCATTTTATAATGATTCTTACATGATCAATCCCCTCTACTATACAAGAAAATTGTCAACTATGTAAAATGCGTATAAAAAATGAATTGGCGGAAATGCAAATGTTGTGATCAACGAGTGCAGAAAACAGAAAAGATAGGACAAGAAAGAAACATATTTGAAGGAACATAGAGGTAGCTCAAATAGGTGAAATAATGACGGAAAGTAGACTAAGATGGTTTGGTTACATGCAAACACAACCCACATCACCAGTAAGAAGAAGTGATCTGTTACAAGTTTAAGGGGATAGAAGAGCCAAGGCAGACCAAAAAGGACATGGGTCAAGTAGTGGAAATGATTTAAGGGTCAACAATTTAACAGTGGTTATGGCATCGAACAGAACAGAATTCATATATAGGTAGGACAAGGCTTGGATGATGATGATGAGTATAAAGATCTGTTCTCCCTCCCTCCCTCCCTTCTTGTATAAAAGGGAGAGTTTGACCAATTTCTGATTTACTCCCAAACTTCCCATTTCATTTTCTCTTATTTCCTTTTATGTATCTCCCTCTCTCTCCATTATCCTCTTCTTTTATTCCCTGGGGACAGTGCTTGATTGTGCTTTTCCATGCCTGCTACATGTATGAGAGTACACATTGTATCTAAAACCCCTTAACAATGATATTAGATAATACCTATTTGCCTATACCTGCAATGGTCTGTATTGCTGATAGTGGATAATAAAAGACAACGTAGAATTCAATTTTGTAGCATCTTCCAAGTGAGATACCCACTTATACCCCAAAAATTAAGTATAACTTTATGGCTGCTAGGTAAAAGCAGGCAATCTATCTTTAATCAGGAAATCCGGTAATCTTTTTGAGGGCTATAAACAACAAGGATATCATATATAATGCATTTTTTGCAACTAAGGCTTGGTTTGGAAAGAGTACGAAGGCTCAGTTCGGAAAGAGTACAAATACAAAATACAAGGCTTTGCAGTCTACATATTTGTATTTGTACTCCTTTCAAACTTAGCGCAGTTTGGAAGGAGTACAAATACAAATACATATAAAATAATACAAAATACAAGGATATGCACTCTACATATTTGTATTTATACTCCTTCCAAACTGACTTCTCAATTTGGGAAGAGTGCAAATACAAATATGTTCAGTGCAAATATAAGGCTTAGAAATACAAAATATATGGTTTTGCATAAGGGTGGCGCATTGGGTGAAAACTTAAAAGCTCTTTGCTGATTTCAAGGTTGAAGATTTCTTCAGCTCGTGGGGACTAAGTGCAAATACACCTCCATGTGCTGAGTGAAAGAAATTGAACTTTGATGGTAGCTGCATGGGCAACCTGGTCCATCGAGTATTGATGGGTTAATTAGGGAAGAAGGTATAAACATTCTAGCCATGTATTCAGGTCCTGTTCAGCATGGAGATGTGGTGAGATCAGAACTGATGGCAGCAGTTTATGGAGTAGAGAAAGCTAAAGAGATGGAGATTGATAGGCTGATTATTGAAGGTGATCCAAAAATAGTTGTGGGTTGGCTGAAAAAGGGGGAAGGAGAAATATGGCAGTTAAGGAATGAGTTCAGGTGCTTTAAAACAGCTATCTAAAGACATGATGATCCAAAATAAAGTGGATTAGGAGATTTGCAAACAGTATGACCGTGGTTTAGCTAAACAAGGAATTCAGAGACAACCCATGTTATGGGCTGTTTTGTAAATATTGGGATAGTTTCTTATTGGGTCTGTTGTTTCTGCCCACAACTTCTTGTTGTATATCTTCATTTTAAATTAATGAATCAATTTTTGTGTTGCTGATAAAAAAAAAACATATGGCTTTGCACTGTACATATTTGTATTTGTACTCTTCCCAAACTGAGCCTAAATGCCAAATATTCTCCATGTAAAAATATCCTCAATAAATCATTTTGAAAGATTATTTTGGGACCAGAAACATGCCTAGTGTGCAAAAGTGGTACATGCCAGATGTACATTAAATCCGTGACTACAACCTAGAGTTACAATGTATGAAAATATGTCAAAAAACAATTAAAACTAAAAATTTACAATTCCATCTAAATCTAAAAATTGTTCAAGAAACAATTAAATATGATATGAAAAGATCCAGAAAGTTACCATGAGGTGAATGCGCACCATTTCCCTTAACACCCTGTTGTGCTTGAGACACGGACCGCTGCATGCGAGGGGAGTCCTGCTTTCCATTTGCACCGGGGAGGGAATGCCGCTTCTTGATGTAAATATTTTTATCTTGCACATCTGGACTTGACCTTGGAGAACTATGAGTCTGAGCCTTGGCTCTAGCAGATTCTGTAGCTTGCATGTAATTGGGAAGTGAATTACTGCTACTACTATCCCTTCGCTCCTGATCTATGTGATCAGGTCTTGTTGAACCAAAAGAGTTACGCCTCTTTCCACTTTTTGGTTCCTTGGGCAATTGTTCTGTACTATTTCTCACACCTGAATCATGATTGTGATTCACCGGGGACCTTTTATCTGCTGCTGACTGGGACTTTAAACTATGGATTGACCTGCTTTTATCCACTTTATTTCTTTTAGCTTTCAATGATACTTGGCTTGAAGGCGTTCCATGTGATTCAGGGGCAGTTATATGGCTTCTTGGAGAACCTTCTGGTGATGATATGTATGCTTGTTGATCTGTGATAGTGTCCAGTTGGATCTGTACATCTGATTCACTTCTCTCTGGCTGCTGCTCTATCATGGGGGAAGTGGCAGGTACAATTGAGTCTAATGACTCTCCATTAACATCCTCATTCTTCCCTGGCTGAGAAGAGACAGCATAAGACTGAGTAGGCAGGGGTGTGGAGGAAACAGGCTTCACTTCAACATCTAGAAATCCAGTCTTAGATGCATGATCAGCAGAATCACTTGGATCAGGAGTCACTCTTTCTGCAACTTCAGCTTCATTTTCAAATTCCCCTCCACCATCAGATCTATCTGGTGAATCAAGAGTGGAAGTAATAGAGAGTTCAGTGCCGCATTCTGAGCCCCCAATCTGAAGCCCTGAATCATGGGATACAGAATTCTCTGTTGGGTTAAGTTCCTTAGCCCTTGCTACAGGATCTGAAAGAGATGAGATAGTTTCCCATTTGGATTCTACTCCAAAATCTGTACGAGTAGAACTGATTGAATTGCCTGATTTAGCTGTTAAACTCAACTCTTCAAATTTAGACTGAGCAGCAACAAATGCAGGATTAGATGCTTTTCTTGATCCAAATACAAATTTCTTTCCCTCAGTCTCTAATTGTTCAGAAGCCACCCTTTTAACAAGGTTTTTAGGTTGTTCACTGTTCATTTCAGGCTTTTCAGAAGCAGAATAAGCCAACTTTTGAGAAGTTGCATCCAATTGCATATCTGTATGATTGGAAGGTGAATCTATCTTGGACAAGGCCTCTTGTGCTTGGCCTAAATCCACATCCTCAAGATGATGCTCAGGGCCATCTCTTGTTGAAGAAGAGGTTGGGTGACAAGCATGAAAGTCAAAGTTATCTGCATCGTAAGTAATCAAACTATCTTCACTCTCAGATGGTGTTTCTGTTTCCCTAGTAGCAGACATCAAATCTCCTATCTCAGGGACAGCTTCAGCTGCAATTTCAGTTCCTACTTCAGAAGAAGCTTTTTCACTCTTGTCTCCTTGTTCCTGATTTTCCAGACACTCCAATGTCTGTGGTTGCACAAAATCTGATGACAATACAGCCATCCACATCTCTAACCATCTCCATGCAGAAGAATTGGGTTTTGAAGGATCACATTTGATGTAAATTGGCTTTGTCTTTGAAGTTGATTGTAAAAGCTTATAGTACAAACAAAAGTATAATATCAGTATCAGTATAAAGAAATATTAAGAGATAAACCATTCATCACAGGCAAAAAGGTAAGGAAATAAATTTACCATACCTGACGAACAAACACATTGCTAAGCAGTTTCTCAGTAGAAGAGTAAGTTTTGATTCCCAATTCACCCTTTCCCTGAAACAATCAGTTTCGCATCAGTTTCATATGGCTGAAACAATCCCGTTGTCCAGGAAGCATAGGAGGGTCTCAATAATAAAAAATAAAAATAAAAAAATAAAAAAATAAAACTGGAAAATATAATGCATTTTCTCATGAAATGAAAAGATTTTTCAGTAAATATCTATGCTTGATATACCCCAGCAGCTCATAACACCGCTGGTCAATTATGAAAATAATGACGAGGAAATCCCTTCCATGCCCCAGTAAACGGGTAATTGATTACAAGAGGTCCTTGACAGGTGTGTACTATAGTAAAAATTGGTCCAATGATTGCAATTGGTTGGAACAATTGCTCATATTGAAACCATGGTTGGCAATAAGACACCTTTTACCACCAGTGTTTAAACTATGAAAATTTGAAAGCTTGGACAAGTGCTAAGTTGATCCAGATTGGAACTTGGCCATGTTTTTACCGACCCAATTAAGTTAACAACAAATAATTATAAAGTCAGGAATACAACTCTTAAACATAAAGAATGAAGAAAGGATTCAGATCCAACAATGTTGGCATAGGCTCTACAGTTCTTAGAGTACAAAAAAGTACATGCAATCATAGTCCCCACTGCCCAAAAATGGTTCTTACTTTCCCCTACAAGAGGATGGAAAAGTTTCAAAGATTTGGTCTTGGGACGTTTCATAGTTGTCAAGGTGACGCCTAGGCCGCCTAGGCGACAAGGCGTCCTTTGAAGTTGGACTCGCCTAATTGCCAAGCAGTTTTCTCCCTACCATAAAATACTTTTTCATTCATTCTTTTTTGAGAATATAATTATAAAATAGACATTACTAAACTAAAGTAATCATTTTATGTGTTTATATACTAATTTCTTTTTATTATTTTCTTACTTATTAGGGTTTAATCAATACAAATATTCCTAAATGCTGTATTGCACCCTCAAAGACTTAAAAACCTGAACCAATAAGTAAGAAAGAACTTAAATTTTTATCTAATCAGCACATTTTCCTCGTCCATATATTCTTCTTCTACTACTCAGACCAATAATTTTTATTTTCTTCTTTTCCTATAATAAATAAGGGTTCGTCCCCTATATTTTTTGAATTTTATTTTCCTTCTTCCTTTTCTTCTCATGAATATGTTGATTCTCTATACTTTAATTTGAAATTTATACTTTTCTTATGAAAATCATGAATAATTATTAAAGAAATATGGTTATGGTACCTAGGGAACTACCCTATGATCTATGTTTTTAACATAAAAAAATCCATCGCCTAGGCGGCTAGCCTCACCTTGGCGTCTTGAAAACTATGGGACGTTTCAACCTTCATTGTGTAAGTTCTCTTATTTTCTCCCACATGTTCCTTTTTTTCCTTTTGTATAATTAATCGAAGGAGGAGGATCATTCTTATTTTTCATTGGCCTTTTTTTTTCTCATATAATCAATTGAGGTGGAGAATAGTTTTTTATTTTTCTTTTCCTTTTTCCCTCATGTAATCAATCAAGGGGGAAGTTCTTTGATCCCCATTCTCTCCCTCCTCCAAATTTCTGTTTTTATTGTTTTTTTATGTAAATAATCTGGATAGTTCAATCCACGTGATAACATTATCAGTCAAAATCAGGCAATCTAGTGTGCTGGTGTTCTATCAGATACCTGACAACTCAGCACCTCAAAAACATGTGATTCTGCCACGAATACTTCTTAGCCAATCCACATCACTAAGTTTTTAAATATTTTGTCCACTGTGCAGAAAACCATAAGGTTTACTAACAGATTAAATAATTATCTTTCTATTTGAGCACAATTTCATATTTATCCCGCTTTACAATTGTAGCAAAATGGAAACAAGCAGGAAGCCAGTAACTTCTGAAAAAAAAAAAAAAAGCATTGCCGAGGGCCTTACAATCTGATCAATTTTATCATGCTTCCCACTGGGTTTTGCTTCAGTTATGGGTGCTTCTATTAACATACGTGCACGGCGTGCACGTACCAAAGCCTGCATTTTGATGATAGCTTGAACACAACGTAGAGATCCCACTGCTTGCCTTCGGACCAAATGCCCACGCACAGCTGCTTGCAACTTGATGACATTTTTGAGCTTCAACAGTGCCCTTCGAGACTGAAAAAGGGGATCAGAGATTCAGAAAATGCAAGTTACAAAGAAAACCCACCAGAATTAAGTTTTCTGAATAACAAGAAGAGAAAGTACCAGATATCCTCGGATTGCAGTCTGGATGAAGATAGCAACAGATTCCTCCAGGTTGGGATCAACTTTGCTTACATCATCTGAGGCAATTAAGGGATCAGGTACTTTTGGACTCGTAGTAGTTGACAACTGAGGTGGCTCATCTGCCCCTTGTGACACAGAGATTTTCTCAGGAACTGTAAGGTTAGTTGGTGGATGGAAGTCAATAGTAGTGGATTCTGGGCTCTCTTTATTCCCAGTAGATGGGGCTTCTGACATAACAGTATTACTTAGTACTCGATGCTTGACAGATCTTCTCCTAAAACTCCATCCACGTTTGTCTGTTGACCCTTTGCTCTGAATGACATAAAATAAAAAAATAAAAAAAATGTTATAGAGAACAGGGGAATTCCTTTTCGTTCTTTTTTTTTAGTCTTTTTTTTGCTTTCTTAGTTATTAAATATATTAAGACCTAGCTTGATCAAAATTCTTTTCTCCTAATTATATCCAGAACCTCATTAATTATGAGATAAAACATGATAACAGTACAAAGAATGTCCCAAGTAACTAAATTACAGAGCAGGAATTGGAACAAAAATGGGAATAGGAGCAGGAGCATGGAATCTCCAAACATGAGAAGCTCCTAACTTTTGGAGTGGCCTTGAAGCATCCATATACATATGTTATATCCTTATATGCATATATATTTGTGTATAGCTTTTTCTTAAGAATTATTTATTTATGTAGTTATAAGTATATCAATAAGTATTTATATACAAGGGAAAGACTTTACATATATATGTATATATGTGAATTATATATGCACAAGTATATATAAATGAGAGAGTGATGCAAATATTCTTGTGCAAGAGGGAGCAGAGGTTGTTTTAACTTTTAAGGAGGAAGAATCACATTGATCAGAGCCACGCTAGCAAAACTTCCTATTTACTTCCTTTCTACTTCCTGCATCCCAACTAGGATAGCAAGACAACTAGAGAAATACATGAGGGGCACTCTGTGGGAACCAGGAGAAAAAAGAAAGGACCATTTCGTAAAATGGGAACAGGTTTGTAAGCCAAAAGAAAAACGGGGCCTAGGTTTTTTTTTGGTTAATCACCCATAACTTTTCCCCTTTACCCTTTTTAATCCCCAAAGTGCTGGTTGCGGGACTTGATTCCACGTCAATGCTGGAACAACCCAGCTAACACACCAACGAGCCAGCCCTCGATTGGTAAAATGGGGCCTAGGTTTAGGGAACCTTGTTCTTTGGAACACTGTTTGTTAGGAAAATGGTAGTGGAGATATTCCTTTGAAAGAGACAGGTTGTGGCACAAGGTAACTGAAATTCATGGTCTGGAGGGTAGTGGCTGGGATGCTAAAATCGCTCCTCACTCTTAGCTTTTCCTTGGAAAGAAATTCATGACGTAATCCATCTGTTATGACATGGGAAGGGGTGATAAAATCTATTTCTGGGAAGACCTTTGGATAGGGAAAACACCACTAAAAGATCAATTCCATAAACTTTTTGCCCTTTCTAACCTTAAGGGTGAAGTTGTATCAAGAATGGGAACACCCTCTCATTCTAGTTTTAATCGGAGCCTTCGTTTCAGAAGAGACCTAAGGAAAAATGAGTGTACCTCCTTGATTGACCTACTTGACATTCTAGACATCAAGCATGGGGACCAAAATGAGTGTCATTCTTCCAGAATTTGGACAATCTCCCCAAATGAACTCTTTACTTGCTCCTCCTCCTTCAAACATCTTGCCCTACCTAATTCTCAAGGTGTGGATTTTTCGGTGAAAGAAATTTGGAATAAGCCAATCCCACAAAAAATTCAAGCCTTCTGTTGGGAAATCTTCCTTGGAAAGGTAAATATATGTGATTTGCCACAAAAGAAGAGGTCATTTTCTTTCCTTTCTCCTCGTATGTACTTCTTACATAGGGGTAGTGGAGAGACCCTCTCCCATTTATTAATCCCCTGTTCCTTTGTACTTCGTATGTGGGAGTTTTTCTATGCTCATTTTGGCTGCAGGTGAGACCCCCCTCAAGAGGTGGTGGACATCTTCAACCCAAATTTCTTGAGGCAGCAAAGAAAAGAGGGGGAGTAATGTGGAGAAAGGCAGCAACTACTTGGGTGGTGTGGGAAGAGAGTACAGTACAACAGAATTTTTCCTGATAAGGATGGGACTTTGGAGGAGGTAATGGAAAGCATAAAAGTGATGGTTGCACTTTGGGTAAAGACCTTGGATTGCTTTCAGAATTTCTCAGTCATTGACATTCCAAGGGCTTGGAGTGAGGTAGAATAGTCCTCTAGAGAAAAAGAAAAAAAATAAGATTGAAGTGGAAACCCCCAGAAGGTAGCAAGGTAAAATTGAACTTTGATGGGAACTCATTGGGAACCTGGGTTTGGTAGGAATGGGTGGTGCAATTAGAAATTCAGAGAATAGGATTTTGGCTTTGTATTTAGGGCCAGTTGGTATTGAAAACTTTACGAAGGCAGAATTGTTGGCATTACTGCAAGGTCTACAGCAGGCAAAGCAACTAGGCTTTAGACAGGTGGAGGTGGAAGGGGACTCAAAAGTAATTATCTCATGGATAAGTAGTAATAGAAATATCCCATGGATTCTCAAACATGTTTTTAGGGAAGTGGAAAGGATAGAAAAGGATTTAAATGCTGGATTCAAGAGGGTACGGAGTGCAAATGGGTTAGCTGATTCCCTTTTCTAAACAAGGGGCTGCAAGGCAACATTTGTTTTAGGCTTCTTCATAAATTGGCTTTTGATATTTGGGATCACATTTTTTCATCAAATTGTACTGTTCTCACTTTGATGAAATAAAGTTCTTGCTGATCACCAAAAAAAAAAAGCTTTTTAGGGAATACTAGTGTGACATGAGGGGAGAGAGGATAGAGGAGAAAGAGACATGAAGGATGTGACATGGGGGGAATGCTGAAAGACAGATGAAAAGGTGGGAAGCTCAAATCCCATAATAGACAGGAAATAGTGTGTTCCCTTCGCTCATCCCTATAAAGGGAACTCAAGTTGTTAAATTTATCAATGTCCGAAGAACTAGACTAGACATAGAACCAGAAAGGGGAGACACACAACACACAACATACACACACACATAGCAAAGCAGCCCATGTCACATGGCCTCTCCTTTCTCCAAATCCCTCTTAACTCTGTGTGTGTGTGTGTGTGTTTACTTGCCTTTTTTCTACTAATTACGTTATGGAGTTGATCTTTATTATTTGCCTTTCATCTATGTGCAATATGTCAATTTACTTTATTATCTTAAATTAAATTATTATATTTAAGTGCAAAATAACTTTAAGAGTCTTAAAAAAAGAAAAAAAAAATACTTAAAGTAAATTATTACCTAATTAATTATTTACTTAATTGGCTTTAAAAAGTCAAGTAACATAATTATCCCATAATTAACTTAAAGTAACTTAAGTATTATCTAATGATTAGCTAATTAAATTGTCACAGATCTATGTTAGTACATAATTAAATTATCAAAAACTAAATTTCATTAATCTAAATTAATTAACCAAACTAACCTTTACTGACCTAAAAATTTAGTTAACGACAACATTAATTTATTATAAGCTTAATTACTTTATTCAATAAATTAATTAACCCATTTACTAATCAAATAAAACATTAGGGGTGCAACTCAAGCGGGTTGGATCAGGTTGTAGGTCAACCCAAGCCCAATCCTCAAGGTGCAACCCTTAGGTTCAGGCCTGGGCCGGTTGAGGTTAAATCCAAATTTATCAACCCAGGTCCAACCCGAGCTTAACCGAGTTGGGCTGGGCTGGATTAGTTGGGCTTTAGCGGATTGATTGGGTATAAAAAATTATGTATATATTTTTATATACCCATCTTTTATTGGGCTTTATGGCCCAGGTTAAGAGTAAAATTCATTGAGAATATGTATAGATTCTCATTTACAAATGTACATATACATTAAAAAAAGATATTTTTACATAAACATAATACACATATATGTATTTGTTCAGGCAAGATTGGGTTGGGTCGGGCCTAGATTGGGCTTAAGCTACCTAAGACTCAACCCAAGCCATCTCAAGTTTAGGTCAGGCCCAAGTTTTCTAGCCCAAGCCAAACTCAAGCAAAAATTAAGGCCCAAACATTTAGGCCCATGCCCAACTCAAGGACCAAAAATCCAAGCCCATTAGTTGCACACCTCTAGATATAGGTCCTTTTTGAGTTTAGATCCGTAGTACATATGGGCCCATTAGTTTGATACCAATATGGCTCCATAAGTTATACAACAGTTGTAAGTGCAAATTATTTAACAAGCCTATGCTTTAAGTTGCCTATTTATGTGGTTAAACTATCCTAATTAACTTAATTAGGTAGCATAATTATTAATTGTTATTACTAATAAAACTATAAAAATTATAATTTTAATCCATATAAGTCATATTTTAAAATTATAAAAATTAATTCAAATTTGTTAATAAAATAATAATAATTTTTTATAGTAAATTTTATTAATTGAAAATCCAATTAAATTACTAATACTATAAATAAAATTAATTTATAATAAAAAAATTTATAAATAAAATTAATACAAATATTAATCTTATAAAATTAATTTTTCTATCAGAAATTTATTAATTTTAAAACTAATTTTTATTCATTTAAATTTTATTTAAAATAATTGCATTAATAAAGCTTCATTGTAGGCCCATAGCCTAACTTGGCCCATGAGTACACCTAATTAAGAATGTCATAGCCTCTTAGGACCCTTTTTACTTCATTTTCTCTCAACAAGTCCATGCATAATAAAAATAGAGCATAGGAGAATAAGGATGTCAAGCCAATAACCCATAAACCAATTTCCAACTTAAATTAATAGTTCTTGAGTTTTCAGAATGTAACACAAAAAATACAATTGAAAGACTGCAACACAGGTGGGGTTGGTATCAAGTTGAACCCTATAGGTTTGGGTAGGTTGGCACAGGTATGACTAACCCTAACCTGACCCCCCCCCCATGCTCCACTCAAACCCAACCCAATACTATGCAGTTTCTTAACTTGCCTTGGCCTATGGAGTTCAGGGTTCAACTCGATACTGACCCAACCTGTCTCATAGTCTTTCAATTGTATTTCTGTGATACTTTTTGAAAATTCAAGAGCCATTAATTTAAGTTGGAACTTGGTTTATGAGTTCCAAGGTATTGCTTCTCCAAAGTGAAAGAAAAAAACCAAAAGCAAATAGTGAAAAAAAAATCATATACTTTAAGGTTCGGGGTTAGAAGTCAGACCAAATTACAAGAATACCCTTTATATGTGTAGGGGTATTATGATCCGATGGCCGGGGTTAG